CCCCCCCCCCCCCCCCCCCCCCCCCCCCACCCCCCCCCCCCCCCCCCCCCCCCCCCCCCCCCCCCCCCCCCCCCCCCCCCCCCCCCCCCCCCCCCCCCCCCCCCCCCCCCCCCCCCCCCCCCCCCACCCCCCCCCCCCCCCCCCCCCCCCCCCCCCCCCCCCCCCCCCCCCCCCCCCCCCCCCCCCCCCCCCCCCCCCCCCCCCCCCCCCCCCCCCCCCCCCCCCCCCCCCCCCCCCCCCCCCCCCCCCCCCCCCCCCCCCCCCCCCCCCCCCCCCCCCCCCCCCCCACCCGGCGCAAGCAAGTTCAGAGAACGCTGGAAAGGCCCCTACACCATTATCGACCAGAAAGCGGGCAACTTCTTAATCGACTGCGGAGGAATGAAACGTTGGGTGAATGCTGCTCTCCTGCGACCATGGTACGAGAGGAAGAAAGGTCCTCGAGGAGGGGCGGGTGTAGAGGGGCCGCTTCCAAGAATGGCTCTGGGGAGCTCTTCGGAGCTAGCTGAGAGCAGATCGCGAAAGACGGCTAGCGACGAGCCTGGGCCCGGAACTACGGAGCAGGAATATGTGGACAGCGCAATAAATCAGACAAATACGCCGCTAGCGCAGCCCACAGGACCGAGGCCGAGCCGATTGACACAGCCCAGAACAAGCAAGTCGAGAGCTCTCGAACGACTCCTGACCGATCCAAATCGGATGCAGAGAAGCGGAGATCGAGGCGAAAACAGGAAGGCGGATCTTCCAAGTCAGAGCTCCCGAGGCGAAAGGACTGGCTCGTCTCCAACATCCGTACCTGTGTTGCGTGGTGGGACGGAAATCTAATCGATATTCGATGGCGCGCGCGAGACCCTCATGTGCCCATTTTCGGTGTGCAATAAACGTCTACCCCCCTGTCTTGTCGTTTTCGCTACATAATAACCGAGCTTTAACGTAATTGTGGCTACGGTTGTTTAAAATCTGGCAGACCATGATAGAGTCACCACGAAGTCGTCCATGTTTTCCCACGGAAATCCTATAATTCGCTGTCGCCTTTTGTATAACCAATGGCGCAGAATTTTGACATTTTTGGTGACTCGAAGTTGCGGAATCGCCAAAACAGCAAGGGCAGATTACTACCATGTTTGCCAGGCTTAAGTTGTATATTCCAAGTGATGATGTGCATGTGGGGAGAACAGTCGATGGAAGACACATGGATGCAAACTTTCAAATATTCTCAGCAATAACCCAACGTTTTGAACGCCATTCTTTGATGCCATTTCAAACTGCTCCGAAACGCCAACGTCTTCCTGCATCAGTGCGGCGCGATCATTTCCGTTAGGGATACTTCTCTCCTAGCCTATGGGCCTAGACCTCTTGGGATCGTGAATGCATCACTTGATATTTATTAGGTTCTGCTAAAGTTATTGCGGTTTTTAATCTTGCAATTTGCATACACAGGCTCAATCACCACCTTAGCAATCAAAGTAAAACCGCACATTTTTGCCGACAAATAAATAAACTTCCCCAGTCCTTTGGGCTATGAACTCGTTAATACAGATTCGGTATCTCCTTGTGTATTAAAACCTTTCTGTTGGAGAAGGTTATCCACATGCAGAAAAAAGAGGTACTTGGGTGAGGCAAAGTTTCGTAGCCCAGTTCGTTCAGCGTCTGTAGCGTTATTTGTTTTACCTGACGCCCAGAATTGTCGCAAAGAATAACTGGTCACTTTCCGTGGGCCAACAACCATCGTACTTTTGGTTTTATGTGTTTCGGAATTTTTAACAACGATTCTCCGCTGCAATGGTTTAGGATGGATTCAGAATGCTGTACTGAGTCAGCTCAGTCGCAAACTACCAAACAGTCGCTTTAACTTTTACGGTGCGATTTAGACTTTGAGAAGTGTTATGGAGCTTGATCGTGGTCCAGCCATCGAGCAATGAGTCTTCCATTATCATAAAGGATCCGCTTTTCATCGTGCGTTACAACCCTGTAGAGAAACTGGTCGTTCTGGTTGTGCCTAACAAGGGCAGAGACACTTCACAACGGTGATTTCGTTGCTTTCATTCAATGCATGCAGCACTCACTAGTCAAGCTTTTTGACATAACAATCTCCTATATCTGTTTGAAAACCATCACGTGCGATCCTGCTAGTCAGAAGTAAGATCACGAATAGCTGTGGACGGATTCGCTATCCACAATGGCTATCCACAATGCTCTTCATCTTCGAGCTTCTCGTAGTTTTTTCGAAATTTTTAAAACCATCATTTTGAATTACGGTCATCAGTGATTCCTGGACCAAATGCGCTGTTGATCACACTAGCTGTTTCCAATGCTTTTCGACCAAGTTTAAATTGAAACAAGAAAACTATGAGAATTTTTATTTTTTCCATGTTGTATTAAATGTTCTGTAACTGTGTAAAAACGTGCTTCTGTGCTAAGGTATCTCTAGTGAAAGAGAAAAAACACACTTCAAATTGACACAGAGTTTCAAGACAACTAAACAAAACCCAAACAAAATACAGCTGTTAAAATTAGTATATCAAAAGTTGAAGTCACTTTAATAAAAATCTAATATTCACTTTGAATAGAAGAAGATTCGGGACTGCCCGTCCAGAAACCATATCGACTTCGTTCTGAAACCGTATTTGGTCGTCTTGCACTTTGATCACTCGCCAAACTATGGTGCCGTCGGGGTAAAATATACAATTTATATTGATTAAATTCATCAGATGGTTAATAAGTCAGGGAATAAAGGCTGGACCGTGCCTTATTCCACACCGTATTTGACTTGGATAAGATCTGAAGCGGACTCTTGAACCTTACGTCCAGACGATTTTACAAGAAAGCGTTACTGATTCCCACTACGACAAGATAACTAATGCCGTTTCCTTGAAGCTTAGGGAGAAAAATGCAACAATCCAACGAGTCTAATGACTTAGGGAGCTCGACTTAGACAACACCAACTCACACCACCATCCACTGTTACTGTCCAGTTATCACATACTGATAGTAGACTGGTAATGAATCCCGAGTTACCTGCATAGTATGTTGCTGTTGCGCAATATAACCAAATTAATCCATATAAGACTTGCTTACATTAGCAAAAATTTCCTCTGTAAATTTCGGAAACGGGTGGAAAAGTGTCCGCTGGACGATAATTAGCTGCGCTGGAACGATTGCCTGCTTTGTACCATAGTGTTATTATCCCATGTTTCCATACAGCAAGAGCGTGTGTCTCATCAAAGCAGTACGGAAAAGATCATACAGAATGTTCAGCCAAGTCCTCAGTTGCCACGGCAAAAGCCTAGGCATATCATCAATTCCGGAAGGGCCGTGCACGCATATGAATAGCAGATTTCTCAGCCTGGCGTCTGCTATGAAGGAGGTCAAGGCCTAGCATTGACACGCTACGTCCAGTAAATAGCCAGCCACACTCGGTGAAACACTGGACGGTCATTTCCTTATTTGAAATCGTCAACAGCGTCCAATTTCATGCAACTAGCCCAACCGAATTAATGTCCGATTCCTGCTATTGGACAGTGGTCATTTACAAAGGAAGCTGTAGCACTATAGTGGCGGAGACCATGGGTCTTCATTTCGGAATGAACCAATAGTGCAATGTTTCCATAGACATAATCACAACTCTCCGGATTCTACTAACCATTCAAAGGCATCGAAATGTAAATCCATTCACTTTTACCAGAACATCCTCTAACTGAAAGGTTTCTGAATTCCCTGAGAGCTTTCGTATTTTAGCAATATGATGGCCTGCGATTTAGATATAGATAAATATAGAGAGATAGATATATATTAAATTATTCATACTTGAACTCATCCAACACAACACTGGAAGGCAATTTTATCCTTTCGGTAATCGTCAGTAATGCACATGCTGTCTGTCCCGATTGGGAAGTATGTGCGCCACTTACTCTTCCGAGGCCATAGGTAATGTCACTGGATCACAAAGCTGCGACAACCGATGGAAATAAGTTGCCAGTCATTAGCTCGACCCGCCGATGTTCATACGGCAATCCTTTTATATGCAACCGCACTGTTCTGGCTATAAAGAACCATAAATATAGATTCAGTAAGCCTAAAATTACCGGCATGCTGAAATTTTGCACCCTGAATAGAAGCTATTGAACATTAAATAATGCAGCCTGCTACAGTAAACTAAATGTTTTACATTCCAAACTAGTCCAAGCGATCTGCAATGCGATCAGTGTCGCTCATTTCTTAAATGGGGATGGAAGCGTCCATGTCGTAGAAACATCCTTAAATATGCATTCTGAGAAAATTACGAAACTGTGACCCATTTGATCATTGAGCAGAAGAGGACCTTCTCTCGCGTGAGCGCCATTCCGTTCTAGAGCGAATTTAAGGTGAACAGGATTCACACAGCAGCATCAATCTTTTGGTACTCTGACGCCCTTACAAACCGCGCCATGACCTCGTACTACATACAATTAGCATCGTAAAGAGCTTAGCTAGCGAACGCCGCATCCACTTATAGAACAATGTACGCTTACTTAATTAAACCAGCACTTTATTTTACGGACGCAGTTTATGGGTTATTGACGTACCAAAGTCTTCTCGTCAATATCCTAGTAACAAAAGCAGCTAAACTCTGTGACCCATCCTATCTTCCAATATGCTACCTAGTTTCTTGAAGGTGATGTCTACTTCAGGGGAAGGTATCCCTACTAGAGTTAATACTCCTCCTCAATACCAGTCGTGATTTGCTTGATAAGAGCATAACTCCTGACTTTTCAAGCGTACTGCCTCTTATCTGTATCAATGCCGAACCGGTATGATGAACTGGAGTTAGCTTTCCCAACATGCTATTGTGGGCTGTCTTGCTTGAAACATTACCTATGGGTCTTCGAATCATTATCCTACTTCCTGTCCATCACACACCATTAGATCGATCACATCCGCCTGTGACAGTTTCACCGATCATTCAAGTAAGGTTTTTGAACGCTACCTCAGATTTTGTGTTACCGTTATTTTACAATTCGCAGAATCAGCCAAGCTCACTGCAAAACGGTGGAATGGGTGCTAAGTCAAAACAAAAACCTTCTGATAATGGAGATCATCACCATGGTGCCGACGGCCATTTTTCGCGACGCTGGTCTTCAGGTTCAAGGAAGAAAAAGAAAAAATCCAAGGATGACACCCACAAAGATAGCGAGCACGATAATATTCCGGAAACCACGTTCACTCGCACCCTGTCCAATCCGGACGAAGTACTCAGGAGACGTCGGCAGCAGCGCATGCAGCACAGAAATCAACTTGACGGTGACGCCAAAGAACGCGGTAAGTTGGAGGGACTTAATCATTTGTGGATGCACAAAAGATTTGGATCATTTCTTAGTTCATCTTTTCGTCAAGTGCTTTCATCTGGTATAATTTGTGGATAACATTTGTGTTGCACATGAACACTTCATGTACTGACGCGCTTTTGACTCTCAGTCTAGGGAGCAACATCCTTAGGTTTATTGAACCTTTGCATGAATTCACATTGAGGCAGAATTGTTTCGATCGAAATGGAACCAGTCAGATGTATACGCCCACCGGTGCTAAGGCGACGTGCCCATTGTATTGTAACACGGTGGAAATAAACAATGGACAGTGAGCGATTTTGCAGAAAGGCGCATCAGACGACAACATAACAAAGTGAACTAGCATGGTTGTCATTGAAGGATGCTTCACGATATAGCAGTCCGACTGGAAGAAAGTGAACGAACGGAAGAATAAGAAAATACTCAAATTAGTTTTATCTATTCACGAAGCTTATGTCCAAAGCATTTCGTACGACAAAGCTCCTTGCGTGCATAGACGCCGTTCAGTCTAGTTCAAAAAATGAAATAGTACCCGGGCACCAAATTGTAGAGGACTCCATTGCACAACTGGTGTCATCAGATGAACAATGAAATAGAGTAACAAGAAAAATATAATGCGACGCAGATAGACTACGAAGAATGTGAGCAAAACCAATCGGGATGGAATTTGAACAACTGATTGCGAGAAACGGAATGAGGGAGCTCAACGGACTACACTACCCAACCATAGCCGTTGGAGACTCCAACCACGTCTGATCATTAGGTGGGTTCCAGTAAGAGTTTCACCCATCTCCCTGTCTTCAATGAAACACATAAACTGGGCGACTTTATGCCAGAGACGCGGAATAGCAATTAGACATCCTTGCATTACGGTGTGAGGTCCAGTGTCAACAGATGGTTTTTGCGTTAGACCGGCTTTAGTAAAGTCGATTGACAACCCTAATCTGGTCCAACAAAATATAGATCAACTTCTGCGTGGTTTCAACATGGCGCACCACCGGAGATGACATATATAACAGTTTGGCTCATATCACACTGGTGAGCTTAACGGTAGTGTCTAATGTCTTCACAGACACACATCAAATAGTGTTTATTCTCCATTAATCATGGAACTCACTAATACTAGTACATTTACTTAGCTTTGAATGCTTCGCGGCCACGAATCGGCAAGCTTTTAGTACCCGAACTATCCTTATGGAAAACATCGCCATCTGAGAGAGAAGACACGCTTCGAAAGTTGCTGACATATAGGGTTAGTTCTTCTATACCTATTTACTGGTTCTCAGAAAGGCTTTATATTCTGCTACTTTTGCCAGTTAGTCTAAGATTGAGTTGATATATACATATATATATCCATATATATATATATGTAATCTTTGGTACAGATATTGTGCCATCGGAATCATGGCTGAATAGGAAAACAGCATGAATACTCAGAAAAGACCAACAAGAACAAAAGCTTTTTTGTCCAATTTACCACTCACAATTTTTGTAACTTTTTTCAGTTCGTTCTTTTAGGGGGAAGAAGGAGGGACACCGCAACGCACAAATGCACACGTCCGCCATTGACATCATTCTTGAGCCATGGCTTCCAATGTCTTCAACCAGCTAGTATCCGCATCTCTCGTACCCCAACCAAGTAGTCGACGACAACCGGCCGAGGCCAACTGTTTCGTCAGCTTTCCATGCGGCTTCTCCGAGTTTAAGGCTGTCCACCAGACCGTCTTTTCTAGCCCTGTTCAGTAACCGCAAACAACACACGAGGCGGGTAACGCGGAACAGGCATGCGCAATACGTGTCCCAACCACCCCAGTTGATGCAGTGAGACAACCTCCTCGAGTGAGTGGCTTCCACGTCCCAAGACACGCTGTGTAACTTCCACATTGCTTACGTGGTGCTGCCACCACACACGGGCAATGGACCGCAGACAGCGGTGCTCGAAGACGGATAGCCTGCGCAAGTCATCTTTACGAATGGGCCATGTCTCGCATCCGTACAACAGTACAGCACGAACGGTTGCACAATAGACCCGCCCTTTGATGGGGAACAAAGGTCGTGGCAACGCCACAAGTGCCTCAGCCTGGAAAAAAGGAGGCGTACTGTCGAGATGCACATCGAAAACTCGTCTCCAACAGCCCCGCCAGCAGTGATGCAACTTCCCAAGTAGACAAAGCTCTCCACAACCTCTCAAGAGTGAGTGCAAGCAGAAGCACCTGCCAGTCTTGGGAGAGAGCCTTGCATTTGGATGGCAAAAAGCACATACCATGCTTTGATGCTTCAATCGCCAAACGGTTTAATGCAAGTTGGACGATGTATAGATTGTCACCCAGCAAGATAATATCATCAGCATAATCCAAATCGACAACCCGACTACCTGGGAGGAGCTCAATGCCAGCGTTCAGCGAATCGCCAGGAACGTTCTTCAGGACATCCTCAATGGCAAAGTTGAATAGGAACGGAGAGATAGGTCATCCTTGCCGAACTCCACTGGAGACCACAAAGGTAGGCGAAAGCATACTATAAGCCCTAACCCTGCCCGAGGTCAGACTATAGAGAGCGCGCAGTATGGAGACAAACTACTCGGGGCTCCATTCCTCAGTAGGCAGTCCGATCGACAGAATCGAAAGCTGCACGCATATCCAAGAACATAGCAATCGTTGGCCGCTGGTACATATGGCGGAGCTCGAGGATCTGGCGGAGTGTAAGGATTTGATCGACGCAGCCGCGACCAAGGCGAAACCCAGCTTGCTGTTCTTGCTGCAACGATTCGCGCGTTGGAGATAGCCTGCGAAGTATGATGGACACCAGCAGCTTGCAAAAGACGGGGACTAAGCTTATGCCTCCGTAGTTGGAGCAGATTGTGCGCAGGCACTTTTTGAAGATGGGGAGGACTATCGATTTGTCCCAAGATTATGGAACTTCCTCTTTCGACCAAACTTTCAAGAACAGAGCGGTGAGTTCTCGAACCAGCAAGGCGCCACCATCTTGAAATAGAGCTGAAGGAAGACCATCAGGGCCGGTGGATGTATAACGCTTCATGTGGCTCAGCTCCTGCTCGAGTTCTTGGTAAGAGACAGGATCGGCGGGGGTAGACCACTCGTCCCCAACGCGAGCGTCAGAAGTAGCAGATGGAGCTGGGGACCAACAAAACTGCGAGTCAAAATGTTCGGCCTATCGCTCCAACCGTCGTTGAAGACTGGTGATTAAGGTGCCATCCTCTTGGCATATTGTTTCACCCATACCAGATCGAACATCTTCGGTGACTCGCATGAGATGGAAAAGTTGCCTGGTATTACCAGAGAGACTAGCAAACTCCATCTCCCTAACACGTTCACACAACCAAACTTCGCGGTCTATTTGCAGACTCCTGCGCAACTCTCGACCAAGGGATTGACGTTCTTCACTATGTCTGGAATCCGACGGGATCAAGCCGCGTTTGTCCATCAGCGACAAGAAGATGACAAAAATCCAGTGCTTCCGTGGGTGACGAGCAATTCTACAGGTGTTGATACTGGCGGAAATTAAAGCACCTTTGATCTGCGCCCACAGCAAATCGAGGTTACCTTCAATAGTTGAGCCAAGCAAGCTTGACAGTGAGGCTTGTTACCTGGTTAAAATCGCAGGGTTTTGTAGATTTGCGGCGTCCGGTCGGTAGTGAGTGCGTTTGGGTGATGCTCCGAAACGCATGCAAATCTTAGCATGAACCAATGCGCGATCAGAATCTAGATAAGTTGTCCAGTGCGATCGGTAGTCCGTTAGGCTTCCGCGCCATCTGTAGCTGATTGCTGTGTGGTCAAGCTGGGAACACTCTTGCATTTGTGTAGGCAGGCGCCAGGTCGCAGTGTGTCTCTTCGAGTGCCGAAAACTAGTGCTCGAAAAATACAAGCGATGATCAGAGCAAAGAGCAAACAGCCTGTCTCCAGTGTCTGATCGACTGCCACCGAGACCAAAACTACCCCTAAGGTGGTGCTCGCTTGGTGGAATGCTGCCCACCCATGCGTTAAAGTCCCTGGCAAGAATGACCATATCAGTCCTATTCGAGGAACGCCGAAGTTCATGTAGCTATCCTGGACTGCATCCGGGCTGCAGTCCGTAGGGGCGTAGGCGGAGACGATAAACAAGGCTCTCTTAACGTCTCGACGCCTGCTTACATAACATGAGCCTCTTAATCGAACTGCGCATAGTCGACTGTTGACTGGGATCCAGTCAAGCAGAGCTGATTCAGCCCTGGCACTCAGTGCAACCCCAACACCAACTTGGTCAGAGGCGGCAGTTTCTGGGTCTCCGGAAAGCTGCAAGTAGTATTTGGCGTCAGAGTTTACCTAGAGAGGCCATTCTGATGACGGCGCTAAAGTCTTCTAATCTGATATTTGAAAGGCAACAGATGCCTACAGAAAGCGTTTCAAGAGTACGGGCCAGACATGCTTTTCGTTCGATCTGCACCAAAGTTTGAACATTAAATGCTGCAAGAATGATGGAGAACCAGGTCGAAGAAGAGCTGGAGCTTCGGTGGAGTGAGAGGCGGTTGCGATCGCAGGACATTGAAAACCGGGAGTTTAGCTGTTACTTCCATCAGTTGCGTGACTTGAGTTGTTTGTGACGATGACCGAAGGAGACATAAGAGTACATATAGGTAAAGGACAGGAGGTGGGGTGATCTGTGGGTAGAGATTGAGTAGTTGAGTTAGCATAGGAGATAGGCAGAACAGGAGCTGTATAAGCAGTGTGGTCCATGATTCGTCAGTGGGTGTGATACTACCCGTTTGCCAAGGCCGAAGTAGATGGTTGTCTTAGGATGCCTACCCCGAACCTTTGATCAAAGATCTAACCTACAAGGTAGCAGCGTGATCTGAGGGCGTCGCAACTCCTTGGGAGGCGGTGACCAAATAGATGGTTCATATGCCTTTCGGTCCGTGAAGGACCAGGGGCCCAACGCACCCTTGAAGTACAATGCCTCTCAGGGAGGGGCAATGGG